TGGTGACACATGGTGGTGGTAACACGTGGTGGTGGTGACACATGGTGGTGGTGACATATGGTGGTGCAGGCTTTCTACTGCCTCTACCAAAAAAACTAGGGAAAAAGTAGGGCATTTTTTTACCAAAAAGTAGGGCAAAGTAGGGATTTCTGATGTTCAAAAGTAGGGATAAAGTAGGAATTTCTTACTGTTTCAGTTTAGAATTAGCAAAACATACCATCACCAAGACCACATCAGGCTGTGTGTATCTTAAGTTCAGTCCATGCTTGAAAGACAGGCACCTCATAGGCAGAATGTTGCTGAATGTTTTGCCAAGGCACCATGAGCAGAGCTGCATCAGTACTAAGGGTGTAGTACTTAAGTACCAGTACTTGCCAAGTTATGCAGTACCTACTAGTACCAGTACTAGATTTTAGCTTGGTACTGCAGTACCAGTACTTTTTTGGGGGAAGTAATTAAGTATCAGTACTAATACTTTTATATATTCATCAAAGTTTGAATAAATACACAGTGTCATTCAAAATAATTGCAAACATTATTCAACAAAGAAATAAAATCATTTACTTTAAAGTTGACATTACACTTTTACAACTTAAATGAACGAACATAACTTTTACAAACAACAATTACAACATACATGTATATTCATGTCATATGTTATTGTTTAGTAACCAGTCAACTGTACTACAATGCCAGGGCCTTTTTTCCTTCTATAACAGGGGCTGGTATAGGGCTGCTTCCCCAAAGAAAATTTCTTTAAAATCATGCAGTTTTCCCCAGAAATTGAATTTACATCAAGTTTTGTCTTCCCCTTTTGCAAATATACCATGTAATTTTCCCCCAAAATTAAGGGCTGGGCTGCTTCCCCAACTTGCGAAAAAAAAGCCCTGAATGCAAAAATTTTACATTTTAAACCCACCAGTCTTTTTGTTGCCTTTCACACCTTAACACCTCTGTTCAATTTATACCAAAGTAAATAACAACTTTTTATGGTGCTAACAATATCACTTGATATAGGATTATTTAGAATAGAAGTAATTAATTAGTGTTTATTTTGCTCTTTTTTTACTAGTAAATACAAAGTAATAAGATTGCAATAAGGATATTTTACCAGTAAAGAGTTATTGACTGTTTATCTCAATTTAATTTTACTTTAAGTCTTTGGTGCTTTTTTATGATGAATACTATTTTAACATTTGAAGGAACATTGCAGCAAATTATTTATAAATTTGATAACTTAGTTTTTCACAAAAATAAAATAATACATGGAATTTACAGCTTTACTTTATGAGTAAAAATAATAAAATTTTTGTCAAAACCAAAAATACTGCCTAGTAATGCAGTAGCAGTACCACTTTTTTAAGACAGTAATGCAGTACCAGTACCTGAGTTGTTTGTTTGTTTGTTTGTTTCATTTTACGCCTTTTTCCAACAGTATTTCAGTCATATAAGCGGGTAGTTTCCTAACCATCGTTCCTGGAGAGTTACACCAGTACTAGACTACCTTCCTCCGCGCTAACAGTACCTGAGTAGTAGCTAAATTTTGTAAGAGTAATTCAGTATCAGTACCAGTACTTGCAAAATCGCTGCAGTACATACTGCAGTACCAGTACCAGTAATGCAGCTCTGACCATGAGTCTTTCAAGGATGGACATCACAAGGAGACAAACACACACACCTGAACTACAATTGCAACTGAAAATACAACTGAAATACCATTTTATATATCTTCTTTTTTCATTTCATTTCAAAATGAAAAAGTAGGGATAATAGGGCTATTTCAGATAAAAGTAGGGCAAAGTAGGGATCAAAAGAAAAAAGTAGGGAAAAGTAGGAAAAGTAGGGACCAGTAGAAAGCCTGGGTGGAGGCGACATGTGGTGGTGACATGTGGTGTTGACATGTGGTGACATGTGGTGTTGACACATGGTGACAGTGACACGTGGTGGTGACACATGGTGTTGATGACACATGGTGGTGGCGACACGTGGTGGTGGCGACCTGTGGTGGTGGTGACATGTGGTGGTGACATGTGGTTGTGCCACGTGGTGGTGTTCAAGTTTGATGACAATCCATTTAAAATAACAAAGTTACAGCCAATAACAGCAAGAACAAGGCAAATTTGGATTTTTAACCTTGAAGGTCAAGGTCATTTATGGATGAAGGTCAAGGTTAGTGTGGTTTACTGAAAGGTCTTGTCCCAAGGGTTGTTGTGGCCAAGTATGAAGACAATACACCAAGAAATAAAAAAGTTATGATCCAGGTACAAGTTTGCGGACGGGAACGGGAACAAGAACGGCAACGCTGCCGCGACTATAGCAATACCTCTACTTCTAAAAAAAAAGTTGAGCTAAAAATACATGGCAGAGTAATGAATCTTGAGATGTGACCTTCAATTATGACCCTTAGTATATGTGTAAAGTTTCAAGTAAATATCTTTGAAGACCTTTAACCAACATTTTCAAAGGGGCAAATAATTCTGCAAATATTGCAGGCAGAGTTATGCAACTTTGCAAAGTGATGTACATTGTTACTATAAACAAGAGCTGTCAGAAGGACAGCGCGCTCGACTTTTTTAGTGCTTGCCTATAAAACAAAACTTTGACAGTTAAGGGCACACAAGACTTTAACTAGGAATTTCTAAGTACAAATCAAGAAACATTTTCACAGAGTTATCTTCTCTTGCTTACAGATAGGTCTCATGATGGCACATAAGAACTCCAACTTCCAAAGTAATATCTCAAATGGTTAGGTCAACAAGTGGACAAGAATGAAAATTTTAACTGAGTTTCTAAGTCAAAAAGGGCCATAATTCAAATAAAATCCTTAACAGAATTACCTTCTCCTGCCCATGTTTGGGACCATGATGGTAAACAAGTATTCCAACTTTCAATTTAATATCTCAACCAGTTCAGTCAAAAAGTTGACTGGTACAAAAAACTTAACCAAGATTCTAAGTCGATAAAAGGCCTTAATTTTTAAAACAAATCCCTGACAGAGTTACCTTCTCTTGCGTACAGATGGGGGTAATGATGTGAAATAGCATTAAAAGTTTCAAAGCAATATCTCAAAGGGTTAAGGCAATAAGTGGATTTTACCCATATTCAATGTATTTTCTAAGTCAAAAAGGGGCATAATTCTGTCAAAAACCTTGACAGAGTTATGTCCTCTTGTCTGTTGATGAAGGTCGTGATGGTAAACAAGTATGGTCAGTTTCAAAGCAATACCTCCAATGGTTTTGAAATAAAGTGAGGTGGTACAAAAAACTTAACCAAGCTCAATACACTTTCTAAGTCAAAAAAGGGCCATAATTCTGTCAAAAACCTTGACAGAGTTATGTACTCTTGTCTGTAGATGGAGGTTATGATGGTGAACAAGTATGGTAAGTTTCAAAGCCATACTTGTAATACTTCTGAAATAAAGTGGGGTGGTACGAAAAACTTAACCAAGGTGTGACGCCAACGCTAACGCCGACGCCGGGGCGAGTAGGATAGCTCCCCTTTTCATAGAAAAGTCGAGCTAAAAAGTATTGTAAATTTCAATGAATATCTCAAGCATTAACTGAGATATTTGACTTTACAAAAAACTTTAACCAAAATTTCTAAGATAAAAAGGGGCATAATTCTGTAAATATTGTAGGCAGAGTTATCCAACTTGTCAATCTGATGTACCTGTACATTGTTACTATAAATAAGTATTGTAAGTTTCAATTAAAAATGTCAAGCAATAATTGAGATATTTGACTTTACAAAAAACTTTAACCAACGCAGACGCCGACGCGACTGCAATAGCTCTCCATATTCTTCGAATAGTCGGGCTAAAAAAACAAGAGGACCATGATGGCCCTGAAAACAATCATTTTTAAACAAGGGGCTTTTATGTGAACAAACTTGGTAGACACTCATTAGAAGATGTTTCAGGATAAATATCTAAGCTCTAGCTCTTTGGGGTTTTTAAAAGAAGATTTTTTAAGTTTTTACTATACACATATAGGGAAAAACAATGACCCCCATGCAGGGCCAACTTTGACCCCACGGCTTTTCTTTGAACAAACTTGGTAGACACCCATTAGAAGATGTGTCATGCTTAACATCTAAGCTCTAGCTATTTGGGTTTTTTAAAAGAAGATTTTTAAGTTTTTACTATATACAAATAAGGAAAACAATGACCCCCGGGGCGGGGGTATTTTGACCCCAGGGCTTTTATTTGAACAAACTTGGTAGACACTGACCAGACAATGTATCATGCCAAATATTTAAGCTCTAGCTATTTCGGTTTTTTAAAAGAAGATTGTTTAAGTTTTTTCTTATGGTTGTAATGGCAACCAGAGTTGTGCATGGAATTAAATTCTTTGAACAATTTTAAAGTTGACTACTAAAGGAACATTCCTGTGAAGTTTGGATGAAATTGGCTTAGCAGTTAATGAGGTGATGTCATTTAAAGTAAAAGTTTATGGACGGACGGACGAAAAGCGATCACAAAAGCTCACCATGTCACTTTGTGACAGGTCAGCTAATAAGAAGTGAAGAGTACCAGTTCTTGTGCACTGCACAGTTCTGTGCCACAAGATCACGAGATCTGTCATCCTATGAAGTTCAAGTTCATAGCTTTTATACTTTAGGAGAAATGACCCGGACAAAAATAAAGTATGAAAATTAACAAAGTGCAATTTCTAAAAAATTAAGAAGTGCAAAGTAACGATTCTCTTGCACTGCACTTTGAGTCATTATGAGAAGCATGCATACCAAGTTTGGAGTCAATCGGACTTATAGTGGCTGACTTATGCTCCAGACAAGCTTAAGGGAACGCAAACACCAACAACGCTGACAAAAGTAACCCCTATATGTCGCCTATTTTCAAGGCTACACAAAACAACCCACTACATTTTGGGTCTTAAACTGTTCACACTGACATACCTCAAGGTACAGTATCATTATCCCTTAAGTCCACAATAGTTAATTTTAAGCAGGACAAGTTCATTGTAGAAAGTGCTAAATCCTACCAGATAGCTTTTTCAGCTGGAAATTATTTATCTGGTTGACATCTTCTTTATGTGTACATAACTGAGTTGCTAGAATACCATCTCTCTGTATGTTATTCTGTGCCGTTGTTCGTAATGTTGCATACACATCATCCGGACATCTGAAATATTATTTTTGTTTTATTTTTACTAAAATTGCTATGGTTATACGGTAACAAAGTTTGATTTGTTGAAGAAAGCCAAAAATGCTTCTTCCATTATTAACTGAAAGTGAAGATGCTATGTGCCACTTTGTAAATAATGGCACATAAATGTAGGTACTACCATTGGTATCCTTTAAAGCCAAAGCCATTTACAGAAGAAGAAAAAAATATATATAATACATATGTACATAGATATGTTTATATAAACTAGAAATGTGTCCATAGGACATGGGTGGCCCCACACGCCACTGTTCTGTCAATCTTATGACTCTAGGTCAAATATTTTTTGGACTACATGTGCCACAAGTTGAAAACTAAAAATCTTTTACTAAGTAAAGGTCAAGAACTTTTCAAATACTGAATAAATACACAAGCAAACCCCAAGGTGCATAAGTACACATGCTGACCAACATTCTTGTAAACTTTCAGGCCTACAAGTCAAATACTTTTTGAGCTATCCATGAACAAGTTGAAAATTGCAAATTTATACTACTGTTACGAAGTCAAGGGCAATAACTCTAATAAAACTGAAAAAAATCCATATGCAAAGTCCCAGGTGCATAGCTTCACAGTGATGTTGATCATTATTCCTGTAAAGTTGGCTGATTCTAACTCAAGCACTCAAGGAACAAATAACTCAACATAATGAAACACTTTTTACTAAGTCAAGGACAATAACTCTACAAATACTGGATAAATTCACAAGCAAAACCCAAGGTGCAAAACTACATATGCTGAGAAACATTCCAATAAGGTTTCATGACTCTATGTCAAATCCTTTTTAAGTTACATGTGACACAAGTTGAAAATTGCAAAATTTTACTAAGTCAAAGGCAATAACTCTAAAAATACAAAATAAATCCAAACGAAAATACCCAGGTGCACAACTACACACGCTGATCAACATTCCTGTAAAGTTTCATGACTCTAGGTCAAATACTTTTTAAGTTATGTGTGCGACACAAGTTGAAAATTGCAAAAAAATTCTAAGTCAAGGACAATAACTCTAAAAATTCTAAATAAATCCACACAAAAATACTCAGGTGCACAACTACACATGCTGATCAACATCCCTGTAAAGTTTCATGACTCTATGTCAAATCCTTTTTGTCAGTTTCATGTGACACAAGTTGAAAATTGCAAATTTTTACAAAGTGAAGGGCAATAACTCTACAAATACTATATAAATAGACACAAAAATACCCAGGTGCACAACTACACATGCTGATCAACATTCCTGTAAAGTTTCATGACTCTATGTCAAATTCTTTTTGAGTTACATGCAACAAGTTGAAAATTACAAAATTTTACTAAGTCAAGGGCAATAACTCTAAAAATACTATATAAATCCATACAAAAATACCCAGGTGCACAACTACACATACTGATCAACATTCCTGCAAAGTTTCATGACTCTAGGTCAAATCCTTTTTGAATTACGTGCGACACAAGTTGAAAATTGAAAATTTTTGCTAGGTGTCAAGGGTAATAACTCTAAAAATACTGAATAATTCCAAACGAAAATACCCAGGTGCACAAATGCACATGCTGATCAACATTCCTTTTAAGATTCATGACTCTAGGTCAAATCCTTTTTGAGTTACGTGCGACACAAAAGAGAACAGATGGAAGGAAGGACGGACGGACAGACAAGGGTAAATCTAAATGCCCCCCCCCTAAAGTGGGGGCACAAAAAGAGGGCACAAGGGGCCCTGGATCGCTCACCTGAGAAATAGGTCAAAAGGTCACATTGGAGCCTCTTTCCACCCAAGAAGCACAATTTGAAAACAAGGGACAGCTGAATCTAAACAATTTTTGTACACTGTAAAATTATTTCAAAATTGAACCAGTGGATTAGATGTTGTTTAAATGTGTTTTTTTTTTTAAACAACTAGATGACCTTACATACCAAATATCAAATCACTAGGTCTTGTGATTTTTAAAAAGAAGAATTTTTTTTTTTTTAAATTTTCAGCAACATAGATATCCCATTTATTTTCCCCGAAACTGGTGCAGTGGGGTCGGAAAGCCATCCCCTACTGTACCTTACATAATTATTTCATGGCATATGTCATCACATTAAATTTAAAACTAGAACACTAAATGTGATTAATACCCCCGCAAGACTGCTTTGGAAACGAGGAAGTTAATAGTAATAGTTATTAGTAACAGAATACCTTGCAAAAGAATTGAAATATAGTTATGGTTGTGGGCAATTAAAGATAGTTGTGGTTCTTGTATGTTGCATTTCCTTTTAATGTGGTTGACCATTGATGAAGTTTTATTGAATTACTCTGTAATAAATCCATATTGAGTTACGCTTCTTGAGCACTGCACTTCCTCTCATTGTGCTTGACCAGTGTATGAAGTTGCATTAAACATTAGTTTTTAAATTATGCACCAGACAAGGAAAAAGAACAAAGGGTAATAACTCTACAAATACTGAAGATGGAGTTATGGTTATTGTACACTGCACTTCCTCTCATTGCCCTTTACCATTGTATGAAGTTGTTTTGAATTCCAACTACTAGTTTTCAAGTTATACACTAAACAAAAAAAGTAACAAAGGGTAAAAACTGTAATTTGTCCAAATAGAGTTATGGTTCTTGTGCACTGCACTTCATGTTACTGCCCTTGACCATTTTATGAAGTTTCTTCGAATTCCAACCATTTATTTTCAAGTTATGCACTGGACAATAAAAAGTAACAAAGGGCAATAACTCTATAATTAGTCAAGATAGAGTTATGGTTTCTTAGATGCACTACACTTCCTCTCAATGTGCTTGATCATTGTATGAAGTTGTATTGAATTCCAACTATTAGTCTTCAAGTTATGCTCCGGACAAAAAAAAAAAGCAATGGAAAAGTAACGAAGGGCAATAACTCTGTAATAACTTTAGATAGAGTTATGGTTCTTGTGCACTGCACTTCCTTTTATTGAGCTTGACCATTGTATGAAGTTGTTTGGAATTCCAACAAGTAGTTTTCAAGTTGTGATTCGGACAAGGAAAAATAACAAAGGGCAATAAATCCATAATTAGTCAAGATAGAGTTATGCTTCTTGTGCACTGCACTTCCTCTCAATGTTCTTGACCATTGTATGAAGTTATATTGAATTCCAACCATTAGTTTTCAAGTTATGCTCCGGACAAAAAGAAAAGCAATGGAAAAGTAACAAAGGGCAATAACTCTGTAATTACTTTAGATAGAGTTATGGTTCTTGTGCATTGCACTTCCTCTTATTGTGCTTGACCATTGTATGAAGTTGTTTGAAATTCCAACCAGTAGTTTTCAAGTTGTGCTTCGGACAAGGAAAAATAACAATGGGCAATAACTCTATAATTAGTCAAGATAGAGTTATGCTTCTTGTGCACTGCACTTCCTCTCCATGTGCTTCACCATTGTATGAAGTTATATTGAATTCCAACCATTAGTCTTCAAGTTATGGTCCGGACAAAAGAAAGCTATGGAAAAGTAACAAAGGGCAATAACTCTGTAATTACTTTAGATAGAGTTATGGTTGTTGTGCACTGCACTTCCCCTTATTGTGCTTGACCATTGTATGAAGTTGTTTGGAATTCCAACCAGTAGTTTTCAAGTTATGCTCCGGACAAGGTAAATGCAACGGACGGCTGGACCGACCGACCAACCACCGAGAGACTCCTATATACCCCCCAACTTCGTTTCGGGGGTATAATAAATAGATACAATATTGATATGTTAATAGGTTTTTTTTTTTATTTTTAAAGTAGTCTATTGCTGAATTAACATTTTCCTTTATTCTTCGAATTATAAATTATGCGAAAGAAGACAAAGTAAAGATAACCTCAATTTAAAACAAAATACTAAAGATATTACTACACAGCAGCGTTGCATATACATGTAAGTTATTGAATTTAAAGCAACAAGTATGTGGAACAAACAAAAACTAGAACTGCCACTATCATGGCTTGAATACCCCCGCATACCACTTTGTCAGAATCAAAAGTGGCCATTTAGAGCTCAAGAACAACCTCCCTGCCAAATCTGAGGTTACTAAGCCAGTGCATTGCTAAGTTATGTATTCTACATGCTTCAAATGTGAAAATGTCAAAATCAATACATCGCGGACAGGACATTCTTTAGCAATTGGGAAGAAAAGCTTTTTTTGTCAAGGTCCCTGTGACCTTGACCTTTGGACCCCAGTGACCTCAATAAATAGGGTTCACCTTATAGTCATGATCAAACATCCATGCCAAATATGAAGACTGTGGGTCAAAGGAATCGTAAGTTAATGGGTGGACAAACTTTTTGAAGTCAAAGGTCCCTATGACCTTGACCTTTGATCCAGTGACCTCAAAATCAAAAGGGGTCATCTACTAATCATGATCAACATCCATGCCAATATGAAGACTGTGGGTCAAAGGAATCTAAAGTTATTGGGCAGACAAACTTTTTGAAGTCAAAGTCCCTGTGACCTTTGACCTGGTGACCTCAAAATCAATAGGGGTCATCTACTAATCATGACTAACCTCCATGCAAATATGAAGACTGTGGGTCAAAGGAATCTTAAGTTATTGGGCGGACAAGCTTTTTTAAGTCAAGGCCCCTGTTGACCTTGACCTTTGACCTGGTGACCTCAAAATCAATAGGGGTCATCTACTAATCATGACTAACCTCCATGCCAAATATGAAGACTGTGGGTGTAAGGAATCTTAAGTTATTGGGCGGACAAGCTTTTTGAAGTCAAGGCCCCTGTGACCTTGACCTTTGACCTGGTGACCTCAAAATCAATAGGGGTCATCTACTAATCATGACTAACCTCCATGCCAACTATGATGACTGTAGGTCAAAGGAATCTTAAGTTATTGGGCGGACAAGCTTTTTGAAGTCAAGGCCCCTGTGACCTTGACCTTTGACCTAGTGACCTCAAAATCAATAGGGGTCATCTGCTAATCATGACTAACCTCCATGCAAAATATGAAGACTAAGGGTCAAAGGAATCCTAATTTATTGGGCGGACAAGAAAAAACCGACGGACGGACGGATGGCCGGACGGACAAGCTGATTCCAGTATACCCCCCTTACAACTTTGTTGTGCGGGGGTATAACAAGTTAAAATTTATCTCATTCAGAGGAAAATGTTTTCATTTACCTATATAAGTCTTCACTAAAAAGAAGAAAAGAAAAGGTTGTTGGTGTAAACTTGGAGGATTTACTTCCAAATTATTGAAATACTCTAAATATAAGTAAAAGGGCCAACTTGAATGGATAAGGTCTTGTCAGGAAGGGTGGATAGTGTTCTTAATAATATTAATAATTAAAAAAAGGGTGTCTACTACTTAATAATATTAACAAGCAATTATCATAGTATTGCAAGCATTCCACTTAAGTCCCTAAACCGTGTTAGAAACCCAGCAACAAATTTTGAATGGGCCAAATTCAATTTTTTACCAGTGATGAATGACATGAAATGACAACTTAAATCTTTTGAGTTCTAAGTTTGGTCTATAATCACAGTAA